ATTCCACTGACTCTCAGGTCAAAGAGAGTTATAGCTTCATTATAGCTCTAGACTGCTATGGTTCAAATCTCAGTTCTGCCATTTACTAGCTTGGTGATTTGGGGATAAACTACTTTATCTCTCTGTGTTTCAGTTTCCTCATTTTAAAAATGAAGAAATAATGTGCCCAGTCAGAATTATGAATATTAAATGAATTAATACAAGTATTTTTTTTTCTTTTAACAGAACAGTACTTGGTACATAGTAAGTACTCAGTGAATGTTGACAATTATTGTTCTTTTATCACCATTCTGTTTTTAATGCCATGCTGCAAAGTAGCCTGAAGGTTTTCCCAGAGGCCTATCCCAAAAGTACTTTCTATTCCCCTGCAAGATACACAATTAAACTGTCTGAAAATATATGTGTATTCTAGGTGTTCTTTAATTATCTTTTTCTAATATTAAAGGCACAGGTAATACTTTTAAAAAACTACTTATAATCTCAAAACTGTAAAATACTGATTTTCATTTTTCAATAGTTCCAGCATTTCTTATAGTTCAGAGGCTGAAGGTGAATGGCTTCTCCTCAAGATCTGCCAAAATGATTGGTTTGTTGTCCTTAAACTTGTTCTTCTTTTAGAAGTTTTTGTTTTGTTTTGTTTTGTTTGTTCCATTTTATAAAGGTGCTTACCAGATTTAGGATATTGGAAAGCAGTGAGGAACACTGCAATTTGAGTGAGAGGATAAGAATTCTAGCTCTGATTCCATTTCTTCTAAGCTATGTGACTTTGGGCCTCCAAATTCATTATCTGTTAAATGGGAATGATATATGAAACCTATTTCCTTACTGTAAAATCTATGTAGATACACATGAGGAATTATTTGTGTTGTCCAAATTCTCTATCTTGTTGTTAAGATACTAGGTACCTTCTTAAGTCTGTTTTAGGGCCCACAGTGCTTTGCTTGATTTTGAAGTTGTAGGCCCCAGTGACTATTCCTTGGTTTCCACCTTAAAGGTTTGACTGCTCTCTTTATCCCTAGATTTTTTTTTCCTCTCAGGACTGACCCAAGAATAAGATGTGGTCTATTAGCCAGCCACCAACTCCTGTACCTTAAAGGAACTGTTCACTTTCATAAAACAAACAGATCACTATGGAAAATGCTACTTTGGTAAAAAAAAAAAAAAAAACATGGAAACATGACAAAAGTAATATAATCATATCCAATTTCTATGGTCATAGTCCCTGGAATATGGTTTGTGATGTTCTGCATACATGAGATATTGATATGCTGTGGATGAGGCTCAATCCTCCCTATCTCCTCTTCTATTTCCTCTTCCAGTACTCCCTTCCTTAGGAGAAGGACCAAAAACTCCAGCTTCCATACACAAATGCTTGAAGAGTCCAATCCAGGCAGAAAAATGGTTATTGTTTCAATTAGGTAATTTGCATTTCTGAAGCTCTCCTCCTGGTGTAAGTGACATCTCAATGGCCCAAGACACTCTAAACCCCTTTGGGTATTTCCTCTCCACTTTCTTCCAAGCTTCTGTGCACCTGTCTAGTCCCAGACAAGGAGAAGCAACTCCAACTCTAGAGAAAAGCAAAAGGCTTAAGAAGTCCTCTTTTTTTTTTTTTTTTTTGTAAAGAAAAACTGAACTTCCTTTAAGACCATTCTGTAGGCCCAAATTTCATTCAGTTTTAAATTTTGGCTGGCTAATTATTAAAACTTTTGTTTGTTTGTTTGTTTTAAAAAAGCTTTCTGTTAGCTTTCTCTCTGTGCACTCCCACCAACATTTAGGATGTTGTCCAGAGTTACCTAATGGCTATTCAAATTTTGCTGTTCTTTAAGTGAGAGGATACTAACAAGAAATGTCAGAGACATTCCTAATTGCCAGCTATCCCTTTTATGTCATTTGACTAACATATTGGCATTAGGGATGGGGCAAGAAGTATTATTAGACTCCTTGATTATTGCTGTTAAATAATATTGATATTATTTAACATTATAATATAATTGCTGTTAAATAACCTTTCTTATTTCCATGACCATTCATTGGGCATTAATTAGTACATTCTATGGAGGAGATATTCTGCTAAAAGATACAAGAGACGGTAGGCAATAGATACTAGTTAATTATTGAAGGGCTCAGTTGATGGTGAGGGAAACAGACAGACAATGCCTCCTTGTGCCAGGAACTGTTGTAAATACTTGAGCACATATTAACTTGATAAATATTTATTACAATTCTATAAACTGGTACTATTATTATTCTCATTTAACAGATAGGGAAACAGAACAGACACAGGGAGGTGGAAAAAACTTGTCCAAGGTCTTATTGTTGAGAAATTAAAAAGCCAGGATGTGACTCTAGGCACTCACTCTAGAGCCCACACATCTTTACCATACTTAGGTAGCAATGTACAATATGGACTAGAAGGAAAAGTGACTAGGAGATGATGAAGGACTACATTTAAGAGATATTTCTGCTGTAAAATTTATTTCAACTGATAACCAGTTGGCTGGAGATAGGGAGAGAGAACTCAGAGGTGACTGATTCTTGGGTTTCTATACTGAGACTGGCTTGATGATGGTGCTGAAAATTGAGATTGTAAACATAAAATGAGGAGAGGTTTGTGAGCACATTGAGTATGAAAGACTTGTTTGATGCCTCAAGAGATAACCTTCTGAGCTAAAGCTAAGGATTCTGGCCTTCAACAATAATAATGGTGGTGATGATAATAATAGCTAATTATAAGAACTTTTATATGAAAAAAAGTTATAAATGAATTTCCATGTACTCATTCATGGGATCCTCATAGTAACCCTATTAAATCAGAACCACCACCACCACCACCACCCCACTCCTGGAAGGTAAAGAAACTTAGGCTCATAGGGACTAAATAGCTTGTCAAAGTCACTCTTCTTCCTCAGCCCTGCTATCTTATAAGCCACAGGAATTGAAGAAGACCAATAGGAGATGACTCTTATAAGTTTGTCTAGCTAAAAATAATGAGATCTAGTCAAAGGATATGTGAATGGAAAGGAAGAACCAAATTCACTCCACTCTCTCCTACAAATGTTTCTGGCAGCAACCAAGCAAACTCTCCTGGATTCACGGTGCCCAACTGTGACTATATGACAGTCATCTGACCTAACATTCTTTTTCTACCATTGTATTTCCTTTTCTCCCCCTCTTCCTTGAAATCAGAAAAGGCTGCCCTCTCTGGAAACTCACACTTCATAGCTAATTACACCTCAAACATCTCTTACACATAACATCTCTAATTTTCTTTCATTCTTTCCCAATCTTGTCCAATTCTTGTACTTGAGAAAACACACTTCCTCATTCTCCTTTTCTGTCACTCATCAAAAACCTTCATAAATGTGTTGAACACCTACTATGTGCCAGGTACTATTCTAAGATCTTGAAATAAATCACTAAGAAAAATATCAAAGATGAAAATCTCTGCCTGCAAAGAGCTTACAGTCTAAAAGAAATCGTATTTTTCTGTGTCTGACTTATGTGTTTATTCTTTTCACTTCTTCCTCCATTAACAGCGACTTAACCCCCCCCCCAAGAGGCTTCATAGAAGCCTTATGACTCTGCAGAAAATAGTTTGAAATATTTTAATTCTAGAAAGAAAAGTTGGACCTTCCAAAAAAAAGTCCTTGATAAAGATTATGGGATGCAATTCCTGGGCATCTATCAGGTCAGTGATCTCTGCTACACTTGCTGACTCTATGTCTGGTTGATCCAGATCCCAACCTGATAACAATGTGCCTAGCATAACTTCTGATACATAGTAATTATGCAATAAATATTTAGTAAATTATTGATGTATATGTGAACAGTTCTACTCATATACTTGGATGAAAAGAAAAAAGAAAAGAAGGGAAGAGAAGAGAAGGGAAAAGAAAATCTATGTGTTTTCAGATAAAATTGAGGCTATTTTAATGTGTCAAAATTATCCAAACTCTTTGATAATGGCACAAAAGTTTTCCTCATAATCTCAATAGAAGATTCTTTGTGTGTTACTTCCATCAAATTAGGAATGGTTTCCTCAATTCCTGACATTCAATAAATAAAGGATTATTTTTAGCTTATTTTTGCTTTTTTTTGTGTGGCTATAATATAATTTTGTATCTTTGTTCATTGTACATTTCTTGTATTTTAACTGCATTAGGTATTAAATGGCTATTGTGAATTGACCTGTAAAATGAACATTTTTATGGGTAAATGTATTTGATATCAAAAACAATTAACTGATTTATGGACTACCTTTTGAAACACAATCGGGTCATAAATGAGGACACTAATTGTAATTGATTTGGAGACACTTAGTATGATCTAAAATCTTATCAATTAAGATATAAGCAAGCTCTGGATTTATCTTCTTTGCCCTATGTTTTCCTCTTTAGTGAGATTAGACTGTAGATCAATCAAAGGAAATCTGGTTGAAGAAGTACTGGTAGATGCTTCTGGTGGGAATGATTGTGATTGTGTAGAGCAGCATAATGAGGCCACCAAGTCTTTCCTTTTTATAGAAAGACAAATGAACAAGGAAATAGAAGACTACTTATACTAAGCCTACCTAGCTTGTGTGTTTAAGAGAGATAGACAGAAAAAACTTATTTAGAGAGATTTCGTGCTAATGTGTTAACAAGCTCGTTAGGATAAATATCCATACAAGTGTATGGAACTCCTTAGAAGGAGAACTAGACCAGGAAGGGGGAAATTATGTCACTATGCTGGTATCCTCCTTATGGATAGGGCTGGTTGGAGAGATTGGATTCTCATGTATATAGGATTTTGGGGGGCGGGGGAGCAGCCAATTCCATTTTGATGAGTAGAATATACAAATTAGAATGTTGTCCAAACACTGACTTCTCAATATCTAGTAAGTCTGAAAAGTAATGTTCATAGAATGCAAACAGGTATAACCAAGAGTAAATGGCATATGGTATGCATGTAGAGGATTAGATATTATTCTAAAATTGTGTTTCCCTTGTCTTTTTTTTTCCAGATATGGATCAACTCATAAACAACTTGGGGGTCTAACTTAATTCAAAAAGTGGCTCAATGCATGTCTTCAAACAGGTCAGTTATCAGGAAAATGAGATGTTAATAATATTGAACCATAATAGTGCTGAGTACCTGGCAATCATTATAGAGCTAATGCTCATTTTTTTCCTACATGTTTTTTGTAGCGTGTTGAGGACTGAAAAGGGGTGAAGGAAGGGATATTTCTAGGAAGTACCTGAAAGCTTGGGTTTCATGTCTGAACAAAGAATAGATCTGACCTAAGAGAAATATAGCCCCAGGGATCAAGACTATAGGGGCAAGTTAGACACTTGGTAGACAACGCCAACCATTTACCTAACACTGTTCCATATTTCAGGCACTATGAAGATTAAATAAATTGTCTTACTTAATCTTCATAATAACTGTTGAATAGTGTATTAGTTAGGGTTCTCCAAAGAAACAAAACTAACAGAATATGTATGTCTCCATCTCTCCCTAGATGATAGATATAAAGATAGATAGATAGAGAAATAGAGATATAAATTAAAATATTTATCTATTTACAACCTATATCTAGCTAGCTCGCTATTTAGAGAGAGAGAGATTTTAATGAATTGGTTCACATGACTGTAGAATTCCAATGAGTTCAAAATTTAATAGGGGGTAGGTTGATAGATTGGAAAGCCAGGGAAGAGTTGCAGTTCCAATGACAGTCTGCTGGTAGGGTTCTTTCCTGCTTGAAGGGGCTTAATATTTGTCTATTAAGGCCTTCAAGTGATTGAATGAGGCCAACCCATATTAATGAGGTGGGTTGCTTAACTCAAAGTCGAGTGATCTAAATGTTAATCTCCCAAAAAATATCTTCACAGAAACATTCAGAATAATGTATGATCAAATATATGAGCACCGTGATCCAGCTAAATTGACACAAAATTAACCATCATGGATAGGTTTTATCAATATTCCCATTTTACAGATAAGAAAATTGTGACCTTGGGCACTCCAAGGACAAAGATTGTTTTTCAAAGACAAGCATTCTGTTAGAATCAGAAGTCCCATTTTGCTCAGGGTTAAGTTGTAAAGTCACCCCATGAGTGAAACACAAATACAGTCAAAATTAACCTTGAAAAATCCCTTAAATTGTCTATAAAGTTGAGTGAGTATACAGTTTTGTATACCCAATAACTATCTGTTTCTTTATTTAAGTCACCAGATTAAGTACCTGGCTTACATTTAAGAGTCATATTTTACAAAAAAAAAGTTTTCTTTGATTTTTTTTATGTATTATTATTTTTTTCAAAATGAAATTTATTGTCAAATTGGTTTCCGTACAACACCCAGTGCTCATCCCAACAGGTGCCCTCCTCAATGCCCATCACCCACTTTTTCCTCCCGCCCACCCCCCATCAACCCTCAGTGTATTCTCAGTTTTTAAGAGTCTACTTATGGTTTGGATACCTCCCCCCTTTTTTTTCCCCATCCCCTCCCCCATGGTCTTCTGTTAAGTTTCGCAGGATCCACATAAGAGTGAAAACATATGACATATGTCTTTCTCTCTATGACTTATTTCACTTATTTCACTTATAACACTCTCCAGTTCCATCCACGTTGCTACAAAAGGCCATATTTCATTCTTTCTCATTGCCAAGTAGTATTCCATTGTGTATATAAACCACAACTTCTTTACCCATTCATCCGTTGATGGACATTTAGGCTCTTTCCATAATTTGGCTATTGTTAAAATTGCTGCTATAGGGGCGCCTGGGTGGCGCAGTCGGTTAAGCGTCCGACTTCAGCCAGGTCACGATCTCGCGGTCCGTGAGTTCGAGCCCCGCGTCAGGCTCTGGGCTGATGGCTCAGAGCCTGGAGCCTGTTTCTGATTCTGTGCTCCCTCTCTCTCTGCCCCTCCCCCGTTCATGCTCTGTCTCTCTCTGTCCCAAAAATAAATAAACGTTGGAAAAAAAAAATTGCTGCTATAAACATTGGGTACAAGTGCCCCTATGCATCAGCACTCCTGTATCCCTTGGGTAAATTCCTAGCAGTACTATTGCTGGGTCATAGGGTAGTTCTATTTTTAATTTTTTGAAGAACCTCCACACTGTTTTCCAGCATGGCCACACAAGTTTGCATTCCCACGAACAGTGCAAGAGGTTTCCCTTTTGTCCACATCCTCTCCTGCATCTAGAGTCTCCTGATTTGCTCATTTTAGCCACTCTGACCTGTGTGAGGTGGTATCTCAGTATGGTTTTGATTTGTATTTCCTTGATGAGGAGTGATGTTGAGCATCTTTTCATGTGTCTGTTGGCCATCTGGATGTCTTCTTTAGAAAACTGTTAGTAATGTCTTCTGCCCATTTCTTCACTGGATTGTTTTTCGGGTGTGGAGTTTGGTGAGTTCTTTATATATTTTGGATACTAGCCCTTGGTCCGACATGTCATTTGCAAATATCTTTTCCCATTCTTTCGGTTGCCTTTTATTTTTTTTTCTTTATATATGAAATTTATTGTCAAATTGGTTTCCATACAACACCCAGTGCTCATCCCAAAAGGTGCCCTCCTCAATACCCATCACCCACCCTCTCCTCCCTCCCACCCCCCATCAACCCTCAGTTTGCTCTCAGTTCTCAACAGACTCTTATGCTTTGGCTCTCTCCCACTCTAACCTCTTTTTTTTTTCCTTCCCCTCCTCCATGGGTTCCTGTTAAGTTTCTCACGATCCACATAAGAGTGAAACCATATGGTATCTGTCTTTCTCTGTATGGCTTATTTCACTTAGCATCACACTCTCCAGTTCCATCCACGTTGCTACAAAAGGCCATATTTCATTTTTTCTCATTGCCAT